CAAACTCTGGACTCCAAAGTCAAAATCGCTCATGTAGAGATCTGTGGGCCTTCATTCTTCATTCTTTTTACTTTTTAACATGCTTTTATTTTTCTAACCATTCTACCCAGAAAGTAAAACTACAGAGCACAGTCTAAAACGAGCAACACCACTGTGCAACCTAAATATGTAGAGGGTAGGAAAAAAATCAACTGAATGGAAATTCTCTTAATGAAAAACATTTAAGACCAATCCAAAGAGGATTTAAACTTTCACCAGAGACAACATTTTACCAAGGGCTGTTAGGGGCTGATCATATCTGTATAACTCTTTTTGAACTACCTTATGTTTCACCCTCAGTTTCTACCTCAATTAGCTTACATAGTTTTCTTTTTGCAAAGTTACCATTTTAAATGAAAAAGCTTTCTTCTGCCTAGTAAATTAAACATTACACTGACTCTCTACACCAACCTGTGGTACAAATTGGTATTATGTGAAAATACAGCATGATCTCTATTTAGCAGAATACATAGATATTTTGGACATGCAGTAAAGTCAAATTTGATGATTTTATTTACATTTAGTTTGAAATTATTTTTAAGGTCAGAAAATGCAAAATGCAAAATATGTACCTTTTAGTATTTTTATGAATTGGAGATAAGTTATCTAAATGTCAGGGGCCGGACCCCGCCTCCAAACACACCCATTCTGGGTCTTATCTATATATGACTCCTCCAGTTCTACAAGCTGTTCGTTCTTGTTTTCGTGCCCCACCCTCCCTCCCTCACGTTTTTTCAATTCTTTCACTTCTCATTAGTACACGAGGACCCGCCAGGCCCAGTCCCCATCGGGGCCTTCCCCAAACCGCAGCTCATTTCTTGATTAAGCTATTCACCTTTATCTACTAAAAATGCTACCAAACCTTAAATGAGGACATGGAGCCAGCTAGTGAATTCGTATTTGAGACAGTTTTGGCTTTTTAATTTCCTATAGACACGCCAGAATAGAGTGTGCCCAAACCTTTGAATGGCAGTCACCAACCAGTAAACAAGACTAATAGTTACTTACAAATGTGCCGTTTGTCAGGACGATCTCTGTTTCATTTGTGAGGATGTTGAACTTGATGACATGGCCGTCACTGTTCCTGTAGATGACTTCAGAGTCTGTGTGAACAAAAAGGGAGAACAAAGAAAAAAACACCTGCATGAATTCTGAAAGCTGTCATAAAAATGTAGAGAAAAACTTTAAACTGAAAGAACAAAGCAAAGCAGCCATTGTGGATTTGTTTAGAGTTGTCAAGATGCCATTAAAAACAACATCTTTTCAGCTTCACTGTTCCCTCAAATTAAAAAACAGTAAAAACGCCGCAGACAGCCAAAAGGGGCCGAGTTTGAGCGACGGTGATGTAATGTGATTAACTTTGAGCATGAAAAGTGAGATTTAACTGCCAGACAAACACAAAGGGAAAGGCCCAGATTTTTCATCTCGCAGGTAGCGCGGCATGCTGTGTATCGATGGGAGCAGCATTGTGTGACGCTGCCAGGAAAACATCTTTTTGTACAGAGCAGAATTGGATGGACATGACTGCATTGTTTGGTTTGTATTAAAGCTAAACACTGAGAAACACAGCCCACCATAAATGTCAAGGAATGTATGCATCCACATTTATAGTATTCATACAAGCAGAGTGAATCCACATTAAACTAACAATCCTAATGCTCAGTGTAGTGAAAGAAAAAGAAATCTGATGGGGATAAGCAAATGTTTCCTCATTTGTGTTATTGATAGTGAAATTATCCATTTAAAGAGCAGATTTCCATAATCACGTACAGCAGCTTCCAAATTAACAGGCACATGGAGAAAATGCACCAGCAATTAAGTATACTTTTCTTTTTGTTTCACCTGTTCAAATTATGCATCCGGCTTGCAAATGTACTTGTATGAATGCAGCTCCTGTACTATTCTAGCTGCAAAAAAAGGCCCCAAATAGTGAGGCTGAAGCAGTGACAAAATGTGGGTTTGACGAGTCGAACAAAAGGACAAATGAATCTCTGGTGTAACAAACAGTGAGGTGAGCAATGCCATAAAAACAGCGGGTGGTAGAGATGTGACAAAGAGTACTGAAAGAAGAAGAAAAAAAACCTTCTACTGTAGACCAGTATAGTTAGCTCTCAGAAACAGCAACAAAGTTAACCTTGAAATTTTTATCTTCTCTGGGAATTCACCCTCAGATTTTTCTTTGGCTAGCTCTGCTGGATAGCTATCAATCCAAAGTGAAATATCTGAACATTTAATGGACACTTGGAACAAACATTTATTGTTCCCAGATAATTAATCCTTTTTTGGCTTTTCATTATGTGCCATTGTCAGGTGAAAACAATTTGTCCCAAACCTTGGCTTCTGACTAA